GTCATGTCAATCACAAATTTAACTATCCAATCGGAGAACAGATGGGTTTGGCTGTTGGAGGGGTGCTTTTTTGAGCTGCAGGTCCTTGAAGGGAATAAATGCCCTTTTTCATGCCAGCCCAGTGTTTTCCTTCATCACCACGAAGGAAAACAGCCTGTGCTGGTCTGAGTTTTGTGATTTTTGTGTCACAGGTTTACGTGCTTACTACAGGGACCTCCTGAACCTTTTCAACAGCGCTGCGAACCTCCGGCGGGGGGGCAGTGTTGTGGAAATGACTGTCTTGACTAGTGGGGATACTTACAAAGCTTTCTTCGTCATGAATTAGCATACATGTTTTTATTGAACATTTGAAGAACCAGCAAAAAAACCAGAAACTCTTGCAGATGACATAAAGTCAGAGATAGAAACGACAAAGAGCAGGTGCATCTAGTACAGGTAGAGCTGCTGCAAAAACCCACAGAGCTCAGCAGCCAGCGCAACAAATTCTGGATCCTTGGCTTTTAGTTAGCAGTTAGCATTAGCAGCACATCCTGCGTCCGATGTGAAAGGACCTTTATGCTGCGCACTGTGACTCACAGCAATTTTTCTGGGTCAGCCCTGACTTTGTGTTAAACTAATCCTAAATTAATAATGGTATTTCTAACCACTGATATACCACAACTTTATCCTTTCAACATCTGCTGAAAGTTAGGGGACCTAGCTTCTCGCAAAACAAACTCGGGATCTCGCAAAAGTTTTGTGAGATCTCGCAAAACAAACAAAACAAGCTCGCAAAAGTTTCATACATCTCTGAAAACGTCGGAGCACTTTTGCTCCGACAAGACATATGTGATGTCTTGTAAACTACCCAACTACATTCACGCCTCAAAATATCTTAAAAGTGTATTTTGTGACCCAGAAAGAGTAATATTACAACTAAGTAGCTGCCGCCATTGTTGGAATTCAACTTTTGCAAGATCTCGCAAAACTTTTGCAAGATCTCGCAAAAGTCCGTCTTAATTTTTTTTCTCCCATGTCCCCTGCGAGGCTCCGTACAAAACTGATTTACAAGTACAAAATATTTATGACCACAATTTGAGCCCATAGAGCCCATAGAACAGAGGTCATTGCCTGATTAGTGTGTGATGAATGTTTAATGCCATAAATAAGGCTACAAACTGCAGGCTACAAACTGCCATAAATAAGGCTACAAACTACAGTATGTGTAGGTCTAAGATAGCACCATGCATTGTGTTTTTGTGACAGCAATGTGAATCTCAAATGATGAATCCTCAGGTTCATGTAATACTCCTAACAGCTAAACCAGTCAATATCTCTGTGCTTTTGTCTGAGTGTGCTTTGAACTATATTTGTGGGGTCACAAATCCAGGAGACCACAGTACATGCAGGGTTCAGCAGCTTTGTGAGGACCAAAAATGCTGGATCCCACAAGCAGAAGTGGCTGTTTGGGTTAGGGTTGGGCAATCAGTCGTGATGAGATGGTTTAGTTTAGACTAGGGGATTAACTAGGGAATGCACTATATCAAGGACAAGTCCTCAGAAAAGTGTGCAAGGATATGTGTTTGTGTGTTAATTGCTTTTCTATCTGTTTGTATGAACATTTAGGAGTAGAAGCATGCTCATGAATATATGGGCTTTTTTTCCCCTATTTTTATTGAAACTAACAGCCCATCTGATTCTCATTATTCAGTGGGAGGAAGAGGAAAGTGGCTAATTCACAGCGTCATGCAGCCTGTTGCCTTCGGCGCCAACAGACAGGCCTCCATTCTCATGTGAAAGACTTTGTTGTTTATGTAGTGTGCCATGCCACTTTAAAACACAATGTCAGGGTCTGCAACATGAAACACATTCAAAGCATGATCAGGGGAGAAAAAGAGAGAGAGAGACATTATTATAATAATTAAATTTCAAGGCAAATGCATTTTTCTCTGTGATGTAGTTAAATGATCTCTCGCTTTAATTGAAGGATGAGTTTAATAAATCGAGGACACATGGAGAAGCCCTATTCTTCTTCCTGTTAGAAAACCGCATCATTAAAACAGCGAGGCTCTTCCTACGTCACAATATAGTTTATCAATTAAACTAATTATAGAATGAACATTAAAAAATGCAGCTCTGCTGTACTGTATGTATAAATTTGCAGTAATTGTTTTCCAATAATTAAAATCCTTTATTAGTTTCAAATTATATATATATATATATATATATATGTATATATATATAAGCAGCAGTGGGGCACACTTTTACCAACGTTTGTCTGACTTTTGTAGGCAGCCTTAGCACCTGTTTACCAGGAAATTTTCATCAGATTTTCAGATGTGTAACATCATGTCATTTTCATATCCACCATATATGTAGATGGTGTAGTGTACACATGCACTGATAATGTAAAAATATGTGTTTAAAACAAAACAGAAAACCAGAATGTATTACAACGGAAAATCATTTTCTGTAAAGGGAACAGGCATGTGGCAGAGAGTGGACTGAACGCAGGGTTCAGCAGACTGAAATAAACTCAAAATCCGTTTTATTTATCTGATAACAGGCAAGGTAAACAGAAAGAAAAACAGAGCAGGATAAGCATAAACTAACAAGAGGCAAATGAGACCAACAGAAACTCGCACACTAAGAGGGAGAGCACAACAAAGAACAGAGGGAGATGCAGATGTTATAGACACAAGAAGAGAGTGGACACACCTGGAAGCACAGCTGAACAGAATCTAACAAACAAGACAGGGGAAGAAAAACTGTACATGATGTACACAACACGACTATCAAAATAAAATAGGAAGTAACACAGATACTGAGAACCAGACTAAGACATGTTAACTTGACACAAGGAGCAGACGTCCAGCCATGTCACAATGGGGACCCAAAAAGACGAAACACAAAGATTAGTTATGATTACGGGAACTCGACCAGACAACCACAGAGACAGGCCAAAGAGAGACACGACTAGGACAGACACAAAAAGGGAACTAACATAATTGAACAAGAACCAAGAAGAAGAAATATAAATAACAAAATTCAAGGGCACCAAGGAATACTAAAGTCAAGAGTCATTAATCAAGAACTAGAACATGAAAATCTTCTAGTTCCAAAGAAACGGATAATAAGTCCAACACAAACTCAAGATAACTGGTTGGAGAGCCAGGACCATGGGATATATAACTCACCAAGGCAACCTATCAGATGTTGAGAAATTGTCTTCCTTTTGTTTTTATTTTATGTGCTCATTTGGATTTGAGGCCAGCAACACGTTGCACTTTGTTGCGTCATCTCATCATTTAACACTCGTTAAACACTCTGTAAAAGCTTGGGAACCAAGAAGACCAACTGCTGTAGTTACAGAATTTTACAGAGTGTCCCACTTCCTTTGGAAAGGGAGAGAGGTGTGAGTTATGAATGTATTAAAAAGCTATTTGATCACAAGCACAAGATGTTCTTGACATGTAATGTGTTAGGACAATAACAAGCCTGATTTTATAGTGTCATGGAAAGATCAAAGTACTATCTGGATCATCTCCATCTACATATTCTTTAATGTGTCATAATTGTGCTTTCATTTAAAAAAAACACAGTTTTATGTACTCTGTTTTGTGGGAGTTTTTGTTTAAGGATTATCTTTTAGTTTGGTGGTCTAGTTGGAATTTACAGGGCAACAAAGGAGCAGTGTGGCTTTCATTTTATAGCCAAAACCTGCTATACTAAAGCTTGTTTCTCTGTGCCACAGATGTCTTTTTCCCTCTATGGCACAGATGAATAGGCTGCAGAGCTAAATGTGTGTTGGTTTCATCCCCTCACTCTCTAACAAATAATTTTCCTTTTGATGTTTGTGTTTATTTCCTGTCTTCTTTCTAGCAATGGAAAGTCACGGTGAGTGTGAGATCAAGGTGCAGCTGAACTGCAGCCACTGTCAGACGCAGAGCTGCAAACGAGAAGCAGATACTCACCTCATCCTCTGCCTCTGTGATGATGATGATGAAGTCCTGGACATTGACAACGTTACATGTTCTAGGCCTCTAAGTATGTCTGTAAAACCCAGCAAACGGTCTTGCTTTTACTTGTGAGCCATGATATGTCAGATGTTTTGTTTTAATGTCAGGTGACACTTTTAATCCCTCACAATTCTTTCCCATCTAAGCAGCTAACAAACACTAATCGACAATCTCTGCTCCACCCCTCCAGCGGCTCATCAAAGCCCGACTCCACCGGGCCCGATGCCGACATCCCTGATCCTGGCTGTTGTGGTCTCCACCGTCGCCAGCGGCTTTGCGCTGGTCTGCGCCGGCGTCATCCTCAGTAAGAGACTCCTCCAGTTCTGTGCGCAGTCTGTGCCTTCCACCTTCCACCGGCTGTAAGCACAGCTGGGACACGCACATGCTTCCAGATGTTACTAACAACAGAAACAGAAACAACTTTGATAAATGTTGGTTTAAATGCCCTTCGCTGGCTGTGCAGAAGATGACTAAAGGAACGATGGCAAACATATGGTTGTGAATTATTAGACGCTGACAGTGAGCACAGTATGAACACTCATTACAAGCACTCATTCCAGGTAACGCTCTCTTTTCTCTGGCTGTATGTATATACAGTATAAATAGGTGAAACAAGACTATTTTGCTGATGAGAGGCGATAAAGAGGTGACTGTTAAATACCGTATTGTTTATATGCTGTATTCAGTGCCTGCAGTGGAACGATTGCTCTCGTGGAAGCATGAACATTTTCGAGACGTGCTGTAAGCGCCTCGCTGCATGAATTCATTCTAAAAAAAAAAATTGCTGATTATAAAAAAAGCACAAGCAGAAAGAGTTGACATTTAAGTTTCTTTCAGTATGAGTGGGTTTCTGTAGCGGTAAATGTCAGCTGTTATAATTCATTGTCTGTAAAAAACCAAAAAACAAACACAGAAGTGATTATACAGACATGAAGATTACAACAGTATTTGAAAACGAAGAACTGTGATAAGAGATTAGCCTTTTTGTCATTTTGAGAAGCGCGCAGCGACAAGCGCGAGTTGAGCTGAACCCACGGGCATCGACTCCGTGATAAGAGGATAGAGCAGAAATTGTTCATCTTTAAAAGTGTTAAATGCTATGCACACAAAGTGCTATGATATGGAGTGTTAGAATAAGTAGGTGCTTGTTTGCTGAGCGACAAGGTTACCAGAGTTACTCTTGTTGGCTGCGGGTTTGAGACAATCAGATGGTCAGGCAGGCTGTAAAATGCTAAAATAGGAGTAATTAGGGAATTAACCATTACATTTGTATAGCTTTAATTTAACTACTCTGTAGCAACCACACTTAAAACAGGAAGCACAAGAAAGAAGAGAGGGATTCTGAGACAACCACATTTTGACAATGAACATGGTCTCAAAGGCTGCTATGCAAAATATACTGTTAAGTACCTTCTTTTGTATACCAAATCTCGTTTGATTAACTCCAGACACTTTATACGAATACAGTTTTAACAACACGTGGAGTCATTTTCCAGTAAGGACAGTGAGGGATTATACCGCTAATAAAACTCGGAGCACCTTTGTCACCTTTTGTGACAACTGTGTGCTGCAGACTTTATGAGAAGGGAATCCTCTAACAAGAGCTTTGTAAAGGTGTGCGTGTATAGCAGGTTCTCTTTCTCTCTCTCTCTGTTGTCCTTTTCATGACCTCACTGAAAGTGCCAAATATTACGCAAAGCTCAGCTATTTTCCCACAGCGCGACTTGATGAGAGTAAACTTTGTGTCAGAGCCTCTGGAGGAATCGGCGCTGCGCTGACTTCCTGCAGAATATCAGCTACACTCCCAGCTCCCTGGGGGTTTAACGCAGCCTGACAAGAAAACCAGGCATGACCAAACAGTTGGGACTTTTTAATGAAGTAATGCATGTAAAAACCTCCTGTAAGGAAAGCGATATGGACTAACTCTTACAGATTTAAGAGTAATGTGGACATTTCACCTCCTGGCAATGAATTCCGAGCAGAATAATGTCCGTTTTCCAGCCGAGCCTGAAGCAGAAGGTATTTGAACATTTATGTGGTGACCTCCACCTTCACACTCCCCCCTCAAATTTCCATTTCGCCACAAGCTTTATTCTGAATCCATTATATCTCATGATAGCTTAGCATGAAACGTTTAACCTCCCATTTTAAATGACACCCTTAACGCACACAGTGCAGTGAAACAGTGCTCTGATGGAGTCGAGTGTTTTTATTTTTTTGTTATCAGTAAGTGCTAATGGCTGACCATTAAAAGATGGCGATTTATGTTGGATGTGGTTGGTTTTCTGTCAGCAGAAGTGAGAGAATATGTCGATAAAGTGCGGCGGACTTGGTGAAAAGCGACGTGTGAGAACTGGAAGAGGCGAGTTATTCATCAGATAAATGTCCTTTTGGGATAAAAGACTGCAGTCTGCATTTCTGCTGTGAAGTTCTTCTTTAAGAAAGTTTGAGCTCGGTGTAATTAAACATAAATACAACCCCGCAATCAGCTTATCAGAGTGTAATCTGACAGACGATAATTGCAGATACGGCGGTGCTACTAGTGGTGCATACTGGGCCACTATATGCAAAATGGAACACTAACTGCATTGTGTGTAAATGTGTGCACTTGCTCTTAAATAAATCAGTTCCTAAACAAAGGCTGATGACATTCATTTTTATAACATCTGCTTTAAAAAAAATACATATTTGGGGAGGATGGGGTGTTTTTACTGGAGCGTGTTTAATTTTTTTAAAAAAGGCAATGAACATACACACACGCTTCAGGTTAATGGTGTCTCCTTACCTGAGCTCTCCCCCATGCAGGGAGGTAGTCTGATCCCTGGGCGCCCCATGTCCTTCACCCCCACCTCTTCCTCCTCCTCCTCCTTCTCCTGCTTCTCCTCCACAAAACTCCCCTTATCCCAACTCCTGAGTCCCTAGCATCTGCACCGGGCGATGGCTCGACGGCACCTCTTACCTGCACGCAACGCCCCCCCTCCCTGGCAGACTACCAACCTGCATCGGGGACATGGGCTGCCTCCATGGCGGGTGAGTCCAAACTCACTGGCACAGACAGTATAGGAGCAGTAACCAAGGAGAGGCCATCCCACATGCATGTCAGTTAGGTTAGTGGCTTTAGAAAGAAGCCAGCTCACTTGACTTCTGAAGGCAGCTCATCGTCTCTGCTTGAGGCTTCAATAACTGCTACTAACATAACATACGTGTGAATTACAGATCCATACTGAGGGTGGTGTTTGAAGAGGTAGAACTCCAGTGTTGGAGAAGTGCTATGCAGAATTGGTGGAGTATTCTTTAAGAACAAAATGAAGCCATTTGAAACATTTTTTCCCATATTTTTATAGCTTTATTCCCACTAAGAATGTTGTTTTAGGATTGAAAAAGTTATCGAGATGTGGCTTGATCCCTCCTTGTGTTGCCGCTCCTACATTCAGACAGATGGTCAGGAAGATCCTTCTGCCACTTACATGCACTTGTAGGGTCCTGATTAAAGTTTGCTGATAATTTTTGTCAAGGGTTTGTCGACTCTTTAGTATAACAAGCTTGTTTGTCCCTCTGCCTCGTCTTTTTCTGCAGTGTGGTACCGCAAAAAGAACGACCTGCATGCAGTGAGGGGGCGTCTTCAGAGTCCCGAGTATAAGCTGAGCAAAATCCGTTCCTCCACCATCATGACGGACTACAACCCAAACTACTTTTTCACCGGCAAAGCCGCTTCGTTCAGTGAGCTGAAGGAAGTGCCACGCAAGAACATCACCCTACTGAGGTATGACACAAGTGGACTCAATGTTAGAGTGCCAGTTTAAGGTTCTGCTCTCCACCAAACGTTTGCCTTCGTTTCATTCGTTGTGTTTTCTCTCCTCTTTAGGGCTCTTGGTCATGGAGCCTTCGGTGAAGTCTATGAAGGTCAAGTTCTGGGGATGAGTGGTGATGGCAGTGCTATGCAGGTGGCCATAAAGGTCAGCCGCTCATATTTTCTTAAATATTTGCACTTAAATGTTTAACAATGACACCTCGCATGTATGTTCAGTACTTATAATCCCATAAGTGGTGCTTCTGCTTCTCAGAGCTAAAGGTCATGGAGATGCTTTCACTTACAGAATGATTGTTGGCTTTTCTTATGTTGTGCAAAGACTGCAGCACAAAATGACTAAAAAAGAAGAATGCAGATTTGCTCAGCGTCCCTGGATAAGATGCTTTAAAAGGCACATCGTTTAAACAGGGAAAAGCAAAAAAGTAGAGAAAGCACTGCATGGGGTTACCTGCTTACAATGCTCTGCTGATTAGGTCTGAAAATTTATATTTCCCCTTAAAAGTAGCACACACTCAAATTTTCTTTCTATTCTGCAGACTCTACCAGAAATCTGCTCCGAACAGGATGAAATGGATTTCCTGATGGAGGCACTGATTATGAGGTGCACGAGACAGCAACCATACACTTCCTCTGTGCATTACACACACACACACACACACACACACACACACACACACAAAGAGTGGCTTCTAAATATTTTTCACTAGGAGATGTGAAACTTTACTAATTAGAAATCAAAACAATGACATAATTGTCCCTCAAAGACAATCATGTCTGCAGGGGTAAATTTTGATCTCAGGAAAATGTGTGACGTTAATTGGTTTCTAGCGGCGGTTGCTTGTTAGGGCCTGGGTAGCTCAGTCGGTAGAGCATCAGACTTTTAATCTGAGGGTCCAGGGTTCAAGTCCCTGTTCAGGCGTGCTTAGTTTACCTAATTTCCTTAGGTGTTTATAGAGTATTATGATTTCCCATCTGGTTTTGTTGAAGTCTACTCTATTTACACGTCCATCCCTCAGTCAGCAAGTGACAGTTTTAAATACTTGTATTCTGGCTGATTTAAAATTGAGACTTTTTTGTGGTTGTATAATAAGTTTATCATTAATGATATTTGAAAAATAAACACTAAAAAAGAGGTAAGATATGACAGTATGACACAGTGTGATTATTTATTTAACAAAATTTAAGCCAAAATGCAGAAGCAGCATGTGAAAAATTAAGTCACAAACTGCTGCCAATCTTCCCAGGAGTGGACATCCCAGTAAATTCAACCCAAGGTCAGACCCTCCAGTGCTCAGAATAACAGCAAAAAAATTCGAGAGCTACACTTTAGTTACATTTTGTAGACTAAGACTAAAGAAAGGTTTGGAAAGGTTTTGTTTTGCGGTCACAGGACGTCGGCACCTTGTGGTCATTCAAAGGAGTTGACCATGAACTCCTTTGTATAGCTAAACTAAGATTTACAGATGTGTCCAGGGATTTGTGTGTAATTTTTGAAGAGTCACAAGCACATGCTCTAATCCACACACAAATAAGCAGCAATTATACCACACGTACAAATGCGTGCATCCATACCTTCGCTGTATGATGTAAACGAGTTTGACATCCAGAGTGTAAAGGAAAGAATTCCTCCACAACGATTGGAGAGTCGAATCATGGGGTGCGCTTGATTTTTCACACTCTGCTTCTACATTCGGGCTTAGTTTTTGTTAAATACATAATGACTGCATTAACATGTGTTGTTCTGATGGTTTTTGAGGTTGTATTTAAATTATTTTTTAGACCTCATGAGGACCAGATTGTTCTTATTATTTATTAAATCTTAAAACCTTACAATTGTACTTTCTTGTTACCATGACTGTATATTTAAGGACGTCAAAGTCATCTTTGTTGCATGGTGTCTGCTAACTAATGCACACACAGACACACACACACAAATGCAAGCCTTCTAAACAAAACACCCTGTTGTTAACTGTCCATGCAGCAAGTTCAGCCATGAGAACATCGTGCGCTGCATTGGCGTCAGTCTGAACATCCTGCCGCGCTTCATCCTGCTGGAGCTGATGACCGGAGGAGACATGAAGAGCTTTTTGAGAAGAAACAGGCCACGAGCGGTGCGTCTGTACTACACCTTTACATGTGTGTTTGTGCCTGCAATCTCTGTTTGTTTACGTCGCACACTAAACTGATCTGTGCTATGTCCAGGGCCAGACGTCGTCTCTCACCATGCGGGATCTGCTGCGCATGGCCAGAGATATCGCCTGTGGATGTCGCTATCTGGAGGAGAACCACTTCATACACAGGTTCGGATTCGCACCCAGTTTTCGCAGCTTAGAGCTCATAAAAGTGCAAACTCAAAGCGGCTTTTCAGCCACGGCAAAAAGGAAATGTGTCAGCAGAGCTACGCTGTGGTGAAATCTGCATAAAAATGATTCATTAGACATTCTGTAACGCTGCATATGTTGCTTTAAACGAAACCTCTTGCTATGCGACAAAACACACATCAACAACTATTATTTCATTTTGACTGCCGTTTGAGTTTGTCTTTGAGCAATTTGCTTTTCTTAATTTGAAAAATGTGTACAATCATTTGCAAGCACGATCAATCATGCATTTGAAGGTTTTTCAAAGGCCTTCGTTTCTTCATTGCAAACCGCAGTTCTGAACATTTTCTGCGGCAACAAATTTGACAAAGTAACAACAAGCTTCTCTGTTTCATGTCATCACACAGATATATCATGTAAAGGATTTTGTGTTTTTCAGAGACATCGCTGCCAGAAATTGCCTCCTTACCTGCCCTGGGTCGGACAGAGTGGCTAAGATTGGAGACTTTGGCATGGCACGAGATATTTACAGGTTCATATACGCTACTCTAAATCTGCAGTGGCGCCTTATCCACGCAGAAACACGCGAGAATTTAAGATGGATTGATGTGGTTATTGGAGCGTGGCTAAATAGATTTTTCATTTCCCTCCACAGGGAGGGAAATGAACCCTTGACACGTAATTTACTTACATTTCAGTTCGTGGCCTTTTAGCATTTACTATTTGTTCTTAACTCAGCCTAAATGTACCCTGCCTTTCTTTCTTTGTTTTCCAGAGCCAGCTATTACAGGAAGGGCGGCCGGGCCATGCTGCCAGTTAAATGGATGCCACCAGAAGCCTTCATGGAGGGGATCTTCACCTGCAAAACTGACACATGGTATAAAATCTACCACTAAAGACCAGTAGACAAAGAAAATCACAAGACAGCTGTTGTTAATTTTGAACTGTATACACTTTGCTTTTGTCTCAACACTGGGACACCATGTTCGGAAATATATCATTTAGAAGTGCCACACATTTATCTTTGTAAATATCATGCGGTCATGCTAACTGTTCTAACACTACAGTGATTATTCAGACGTCTGAACATTTTTCTGGACAATAAAACAGCTAATACCAGATGGTGAATTTATTGTAATCGAAAACAGACGCTGGCAATGAAAGAAATATTTTTACTTTGCAGCGGTGTCAAAATGCAAAAAAACAAAACAACAACAGAAAAAAAAATTCTCACGAGGCATGAAAAGTATTCGCCAGCGAAACTGAATTAGATTTTAAAAGCCTATGTGTGGTCGGTACGATGCCCTGCAGGGAGGTTTCCACAAACCAAACATGTCTACTCCTAGTAGACAAAGCTAGGGTGCGTTACATCAAGTGAACATCTTTTCAAAACCAGGACAGCATTTGTATTCAAGACACTGAGCCAACCAAACAAAGAGCACTCTATTGTTGTTAGGAAAGCGCAGTGGCTGTAATGGTAGAGGAGCGGCGTCCAAACCGCTTCTCCTGTGACAGTGCAAGTCAAATATTTAGTTTGGGGCAAACCATTTCAAAACCTCTATTTGGTAGAGTGAAAGAGAGGGTTGTTTGCAGATCAGAAAGTTAGACCCTTATAGAGGAGAGACCGCAGCATAATCGATTTGACCAGCAGTCTATTAAAACCCGAGCATGTTGATGGAAACGTGCACAGAGGCAGCTACAGTTGCACCGCAGTTCGTCCCTTCAAAGCTGTTTAGACGGGGAATCATTCATCGGCAAGATATCTCCTCTGAACAAATGAAGGAAAAACAAAAAACACACGAGTGTTGCGGCTGCTGCGGCTTTCCAGTCATGTATGAATGTGAGAGTGAATGAATAGTGGAATTGTAAAGCGCTTTGAGGGGTCCGAAAAGCTCTATATAAATGCAATCCATTATTATTATTATTATCATTGGTTAGCAAAACTCAACGCCAGTGATCTACTGCCCCAGGGGTGTCAAACATAAGGCCGGGGGGCCTGAATTGTCACAGCAAAGACCCCAATCCGGCCCACTGTACGGCTTTGGAAAATGTGAAGCAGTGCGTTGATTTTTGAACTTTTAGTTGTGTTTCATAGATTTTAAAGCTTTTCCTATTAATGAAGACCCCCCCCCCCCTCCCCCATTGGCATTCATATTAGAGCAAAGTGATTAACTAACAGATTAACAATTATGTGACAGGAAACATCCCTGTTTTCACACTGTCTGCTATGGAAATGTCTGTTTTTCTGTGAATGAACCAACACTTTATGATTAGAATTACAGAGCAGTCTGGAAAAATGAACTACAAGAACAATTTTACTCATTTAACCTGTAGTTTTACTGGGCCAGCCCACTTAAACTGAGCTGTATGTGGCCCACAATGTGAAATGAGTTTGACATCCTTATACTGCACTGTTCGGTGTAGCAACCTGTAACTGGATGTTGTTGGTAAGGTTAGAGTGTTTTTTGCTCAAATGCAAAAATGACGCTTTACAAGCAAATAAAAGCAAAAGGCTTACGAAAGAAGAGGCAAACAACGGGGAGTAACAAGGCCTGCGGGGTTTTAGAAAGCCAAAGAAATTAATAAAACCAGAGGTGGTTACTAACACTGTTCCACTAGAACACTAATTTAGAAGAAGAAAATAATACCCTGCCCAAAACAAAGTAAACCACAGCAGGAGTCTCACTCCTAATGTCACTAACAATGACTAATCTTTGATCCTTTGTCTAGTGAAAGTCAAGTTTGTGGAAATGGGAGAGCTAAACCTTAGTAAAACCACCTACTATGGTAAATGGCCTGTATTTGTATAGCGCTTTAGTAGTCCCTAAGGACCCCAAAGTGCTTTACACAACCAGTCATGCACCCATTCACACACACATTCACACACTGGTGATGGCAAGCTACATTGTAGCCACAGCCACCCTGGGGGCGCACTGTAGATACACTTTAGAGTAGCTGTACTAGGAGATTCACTGGGTTGTTTATATATTTGCTCTGGTTGGGTAACACCTCCATGGTCATTGCCAGGTGTTGAACAGTGTTGGACATGGTTTTCAAGGTGTAAAAGATGTTACACAACATTTTCAGGGTCTCTTGGGGACTCTTATCAGTTAGAGTCAGGAGCAGGAAGCAGAGTGATTGAGATCTGGGTCACAGGGGGTCATGACAAGTACACAACTGAGAAATCAGAGAGCTAGAAAAACAAAAACAAGGAGATTTCTACACGAATACTTAAACTCGCTGCACTCTTAATTCAGCAGGGGAAAGATAAGGGCAATTACAAGCATTTATTTTGTCAAAAGAAACAAAAGAGTCACCCTGAATGGTGTCAGCTTCTATTCAGGAAAAAATTGTTGGTTTTGTGTTTGTTCGTGTTGTTTGCATTTGTTGTTCCTTGTCTGAGGAACATTACAGTAGAATAAGTTTAGCACTCAAAGACAACTTCATCCACTCAGTTATTCATCGATGTCTCCCTCTTCAGGTCATTTGGAGTTCTGCTCTGGGAGATCCTCTCGCTGGGTTACATGCCATATCCTTGTAAAACCAACCAGGAGGTCCTGGAGTTTGTCACCAGCGGAGGCAGAATGGATCCTCCCAAAGCCTGCCCAGGGCCTGTGTGAGTACTGACTCAAGTTGCGGTTTCTGTAGGCTTTTTTTCTTGGTATTTTTTTAAAGACATAATAATGTTTGCTTCATCTTCCACCTTTGATGTGATGTTGATTAAACATGTTTCTTTTGTCTACTCAGTGAGTGATGAACGGGAATTAAGGAGAAATTCAGAATTTCAACAGTTATTCATTTGCTGGTTGTTTCTCTGCTTCTGTCGATTACTGTTTAGCTATCGGATCATGACCCAGTGTTGGCAGCACTGTCCTGAGCATCGGCCCAACTTCTCGACTATCCTGGAGAGAATCAACTACTGTACTCAGGCATGCATCTTCTCTAGATATTTAAGACTGCTAATGTTGCTTTTTTTGTGTCTTTTAAATGTTTTTTCAGTTTTGTTCTGCTCTGATTATCATTTAATCCTCACTCTTCTTTTCTCTCTCAGGATCCAGATGTGATCAACACGCCTCTACCTGTGGAATATGGCCCCAACACGGACGATGACGGAGGCACTGTAATCCGTCCTACTGACCCGACATCTACCTGCCTCACTCCACTTCTAGTCTCACACCCTCCCTCCCAGGATTGTCCCTCCCAGCTGGGTTTCTCAGCCATGGGCCTGGGTCCCACCCCTCTTCCCCTGCAGCCTACAAAGCCCCGTCTGCTCCTGCAGAGGACCCAACCTGTCCACCATGAAGTCACATCATGTCGCGAGGTTTTGGAGCCATGCTGGGCTGAGCCCGTTCCTGCCCCTGGTTTGTCAGCGGTCTCCAACTGGCTCCACCCTGAGCCTCCTCATCACCGACCCTGCTCCAGAAACAGCTCTTCCTCAGAGAACCAGAGGCTGAAGAACAAGACTAAGAACCTCTGGAACCCCACATATGGATCCTGGGTCTTGGATAACTTAAGGGGGAAGAAGGCGCTCACTCACACCCAGTCCATGCCACTCTCGAGCTCCACCTCCAAAACGCAGACCCACAGCCCAGCTTCAGAAAACCACGAGGCTGGCAGTGACGGCACCAGCAGCACCTACCTCAGCCCTAAAAGCCTCTGCAATTCCTCGACTTCATCTTCTTCTTGCCAGGCTCAGGCTGCCTCTAGCACGTCCTCCCATAAGACCCCAGCAGGCGGTGGCACAAAATCTATGGACCTTGCTAAGCTCCAGAGTTTCCCCTGTGGCAACGTCAACTATGCCTACGACGAGCAAAGCTATGAGGCAGAAAGCCTGCCGTTGGTTGTGCCCAAAGCCCCAGAAGATGTGAAAAACACCAGCTCTGCTACCAGTGTCTCATCAGGGACTAGCCTGGGACTGGCATTAGGCCTCCATACCCCTTCATCCTGCATGCCCAAGCTGCTGCTGCTGAAGCGCCATGCCAGCTACGGGCATGAGGATGTGAGGAGACACACCAAAGCTGAGAAACCCACACGTGACAGAGACTCTGGCTTTTCTCTGTCTGAAGACCTCAGTGTTACTCCTATCTAAGAAAAGGATAACACTTCAAATGTCACCTGAATCCATTTCTCACAAACTGAGACTTTAGCTCTGGAATTTTTAGAATAAAAAGCATGACCATGAAGGCTCCTTCATGGTCAAGTGCCACAGTGTCTGATTCTTACAGCTCCTAGAATGCTGGAAAACACATCTGAACATTCCCGTCCACACAAACACTCTGCACTGTAATACAGAGAGCCAACACTGGAGCCCTGTCAAAGGCTTCTGATACCATAGTAGCTGAACACTGATGCTGAAACACTGGGAGACTCACGGCCCTGCACTTCCTCAGTGTCCACACTGTGGGTGAGGTCTGCCAAAACGTACTGCTGTTGATGGACTTCTTTTATACCTGTTATTTTTTCTTTTTGCTGTATTTTATTCATGAAAGCTTTGCTGGCAGTATATGTGAATTTGTAGTATTTAGTGTATGACCATAAAAGGCTAAAAGAATATTGAGTCATTGGGAGGAGAATCTCCAAGACGTTTTAATTTCATAGGTATAAATTTTTTGAAAAGTAATTCCACTCTTTTGACGCTGATGGGCAGAATCACAGCTATATATACACTTTAGGACCTTATACTCCTAGTTGGTACTCTAATATAATTGGTTTCATCCCATACAATGTGAAAACACTTCCTCTGGCAATAACGTGTATTTTCTGACTTGGTAGGTGAAGCACGAGCCTGTTTCCAGCCTTGTTCTCAACTAACTGGATACTGGTCTATAAATTTAAAGTTTGGGGGGTTTTAACTCTTTGTGACTCTGGATCAGTGGTTCTCAAACTGGGGAGGGGCCCCACCCAGTGGAGTAAAGAGCCACTGCAGGAGTGGTGTTAGGAATCAAGGTACACTCAACAAAGCGTTGAGCTGCTTGCTATTGCAAACATCTCATCAGCCAATCAGGTGGCAGCAACTTGATTTAGGCATTTAGGCATGGTCAAGGCGACCCGCTCAAGTTCAAAGCAAGCATCAGAATGGGGAAGGAAGGTGATTTATGACCACACTGTACCCATCTTCTGATCTAATAGAGCAACTTTTGGGATGTGGTGGAAAAAGGGATTCACATCCTGGATGTTGGAACTTTGTGATGCAGTCATGACAGTATGGACCAAAATCTCTGAGGAATGTTTCCAGCACCTTGTTGAATCTATACTATGAAGAACTGAGGTAGTTCTGAGGGTACATGGGGTCTACCCCTGCATTAGTAAGGTGTATCTAAATCTAATGAGGTGTAAATATAACTTTATGTATGCTAATGCTTTCGTGTTGAATTGCATCTTTTTCACAGTGCGCTAAAAATTGTGGGATGGGGGTCGTGAGCTTGAGTGTACCAGAAACAGTCTGAGAACCACTGCTCCAGATTGAAATAATGGATGTTAGCTTCTGAAGAAACCAGCCCACCAAATTAGACACATTTGCTTTCTTTGAGTTTTTTTTTTTTTTGTGGATGAGGTCTCGTTCCCCTTGTCCCAATATTTACTTGGCTTTAGAGATGTTTGAAGAGTCCGAGTTTGATGACGACCTTGCAGCTACAAAAACAGGAAAGCTATTTTTGTACTTGCTCCTACTTGCTTACACTGGACTAACATTACATTTGTAGCTGTTTGTTGTTGATGTTTTGTTTTTGCATTTGCATTCAGTCATGTTAATGATGAATCTGTAATCGATCACTGCCATTCGATACGTACTGCTACACTGCCTCTATAGATGTAGTGCTGGTAGTACTTACGTTTACTCAACAGGGGGAGGTATTCAACTCTGAAATACCAAACAAGTTGCTGTATTTATGCTTTCAGGTTATTCTTATTTAATCAAGTTTATAGTTGTACTTGGTGTGTGACATTATTTTGAGCCTAAACATGGCAATATTATATTTTTTGATATGTTGTTACATTTATGTAAGAGTTCTGTAGGCTTACAGTGTGTTATAAGATCAGACCTGCTGATATTTGTGTCTTTATCTGCTGGTTATCTCTTTAAGAAAAAAAAAAAAACGTTTGTGCCATATAGCAATACTGATTACTGTGGATTGTTTTTTTTCTCATTTTCTTAAAGAAGAAAAAAAAAAGACCCTCATCTTACTCATAGTTTATATTTCTTACGTCCCGGTAGATTTTATTTCACACTCATTTCAGTTTTTATTCCTGTATTTTTGTAGCTGAGGATGCCTCAAACAAAAGTGCAAAGACATTCTATGCAATATACCGTCTTTACTTTCATCTCACCTAACTGTGCCCCAAATAAATCAACATATATCAACCTCACTTGTGTAAGTATGATCAGTCGCACACATTTATATCCCTGCAAAAGGCTGTCAACTCTGTCCAGACTAACACGCGTAACACGTGCTGAAATAGTGTTCCACTACTAAAGATAGAAGAAAAACGTTGTTCCCATTTTAATTTCATTTACATTTGATGACGTCCATCACCGGAAATAAAAACGATTACAAGTTTGATCACAGGAATGAACTTGATTAAAGAGAAATAATCTGCTATACAATGAAAGACAGTTCACCAGAGACTAACACACATAATACACTCCAGTCATCGCGCAGTAGGCTGTGCTATACTGGGAATGTGCTATATTTTGTAGTTATAACTGTGAGGTCTGTGAGCCAAACAGTTACATACTGAACATACGCCCCAACCTTTAATAATACACTGAAGGCTGATGGTTACAGTAAGTGGTGTAACGTGAGAATGAGTCTGTAACTTGTGCTCGTTCGCTCTCTTCTTGAGACAATGAACAGGCACATTTTTATGAGGCTTTTCACTTGTAACATCCTGAAAGTGAAATGCACAATGCCTGCACTTCTACTTCTGTTCATCGTGTAGGAGGCTGAATTAGTGTCGGTGCATTTTCTCAATCATTTCGTTTATAGTGACAAAACTCCCCGCTTCCCTCTGTTCAGCATCCGTCGCACAGCATTGTTTTTTTTTGTCGGTGTCGATGCTAAATGTGGTCACATTACATTTAAAACGGTGAAAACCTGAGTCTCGGATCTACGTTTGATGCCCGTCATGTTCTTGTTTTCATTCTTAGTATTCTGTGCTTTAAAAAAATAACCCAGACCAATCAATCATATCTGAAACCATCCCACAGTGTCCATCAATATAGTTGCTGTTCCTTAACCCCGTTGAGTCAAAGGTCACTGGCTGTGTGTTTCTGTATTTTGGCTGTTTTCTTTGGTAACCGAGCTACCGGTTTCTGCGCCGGCGGCACTGCTCACAGACTCCAGTGTGTGGATGAGGTTTTCCAAACCCCACAGGTAACCATCCTCCCGGTTTCCCTCCTGCCAGGGAATGTCATGACTTAATGTCTGGCCCTCTGGTAATGCCGTGGTCCTGCCAAAGTCAATAATCCAGACTTGCGCGTTGCCCGTATGGTCATGGATAAAGAGGAGGGAGCTGCCAATGACCTGATAAAACAAAAAGCTGTTAGTATTAGCTTTTGATTCTTCATCTTCTGCTTTTAATAATCCACTCTTGCATCAATACAGATGGGCGACATATTAAAGAAAACCTGCAGCAGTACTTTTCCTTTTTAATCCAACACATCGTTAGCTGTTACATGACGTACAACTGGTCAGAAATAATGTGATAATTCAGTGTAAGCAGTAGAGATACACGGCCGCGTATCTATGTAAACTTTAACAGTCCAGTTTCATGTTGAAATATTTTTTATGCAAGTAATATTATTATGTAACACTCAGTACCCGGTGTGTGTTTGATGGCGATCTCAAGCCTGTCATTTAAAAAAAGAAATAAGTAAGATAATATTTCTAAGAAAAAAAAGAAAAAATGTTTGTTCCCCTGAGTGGAGCTTTGGAGGAAGTGCCAGGTGCAAAAATATTATTTGGCTGCTTTGTTTGCTTCCCTTTAATTTGCCACACATCTTTACTGTACGCGGAGGAGCTCTCACCTCGTGTCGCTTGAAGAACTCTGATGTCTTCAGGGCTTGTTGGATCTCTGTCAGTTTGCTCAAATATGACTTCTGCGGTTGAAAAAAAAAATTAAAATAATTCATATATTAGATGGATTAGATAGCTGGGACACAACAGGATGTAGGCAGAGTGTATATTTGAGAACCTCCTCCCTAATAGAAAACTCAAACAGCATCACAGTGCGAATATTTGCTCTGTGGTTTACTCTCGTAGATCGCTTTGAGGCTGTTTTTGTTTGCCTTTAGAGCTTTTTTCAAATGTAAAGGCAGAGCCTACAAACAATTTCTATCTGTTCAAACACTGAACGCGGATGTGGGAGCCTATACGGCTGCTGCATTCGTAGCTGATGAGCCGTTTCAGGTTAACGCCTGCACCGCTGCACTGTGTGTCTACTCCCGAGTCCTTACACGGATGAATAAAAATGTGCGTGAAGAGGATAACTGACTGCCACGTACCACGATGTTGACGTTTCCACCGACAAAGTCCTTGAAGACTTGGATGACATCCCGCTTCGATCTTGTTTTCTTGAAGTCAGTTCGACATGTGCCGTCACTTTTCTAAAGAAAAAAGAGAGAGAGCCAACCGTTCACACCTATGGGCAATTTAGATGCACCGATTAGCCTAATCCCACTAACTGCATGTCTTTGGACTGGGAGAACATGCAAACTCCACACAGGAATGGTGGATTCGAACCCAAGACGTTCTTGCTGTGAGGCCACAATTCTAATCACAGTGTGGCACCATGCCTCACATGAACATTACACAAGTTAATTATCTTGTGTGTCAGCTGGAATTTAAGATTGTGTAGCACAGGAAGAGTAACTAGGAGGCCACATAACTCAGATGTTAAACTCATCTGATTTAAAACTGCAATTAATTAATTTTTGGCTGCAGATTTAATATATATGAAGCCACGCTATCATTCACTTTCGCTTTCTTTCAGTCTCCATCAGCACCACTGCTAAGTGCCTAACTACATTATTGCTGTCTTTGTTTTGCTGCTGTTTGGTGTTGCCTAGCTGCAGTAAGCTTATCAAAGATCTTTAACAAAAAGGGGATGCTTGGTGTAGCCAATAGTGACTGATCAAAGTAGTAAGAATGAAAAAAAGAGTAACATTGAAGGCAACAAAAAGAGCGACCTTGAATAAGCTAAAAAAGATCCAAAGAGCAGAGAAGTTCAGTCTGAGTTCATTGTCAGTGAGAAAGCCTTCATATTACAGGCAGTTATTTCCCCAGTTGTTGTCCAAATACTGGTGTAAGGAAATTCAAATATTAAATATTATATGCTTTACCTTACAGTGCCTGATATGACTTATATACACACGGATTCTGATCCTTTGTGTAAGTTTATTTTTTCC